GCACGTGATTTATTAGTCTATTAATACTCAAAATTCAAGGCATTCTAAATTGTAGATGGCAAAATGCTTCTATATGCTCTTTATATTTATATAATTTAACAATCTATATCATACAACGAGTACCGTTTTTCTGCAGATATCAGCATGATATCAAATTTAATAATCATTTCAATAAAGTTAGCAATATGTGACTTACATTTTAGATGCAATATTGCCTGTTTTTGCTCAATTTTGCAAACGAAAATAGTTCAGAACAATAATCACACAGCACTGTTTTGCGTCTCTGAGCAATGGTGTTTACCTGTTGAATGAATCAGCTGTTTGAACGAATCGGTTGAATAAAATATCACAGTTTAATGTATCTCAGTGGGCACATGGATGCATTTAAACTGCAGTTACAGATGGATAAATAATCTTTTGTTTTAAACATAAAATGTTGAACACTGAGATACATTAAACTGTGTAAATGCATTTAAATGCTATTTCAGATGCAGATACCAGAAATTATTTCTTATGTTTTCTTATGTTGGAATGAAAAAGACTAAGTACCGGATGAAGTGCTTCTTATTCTTACCCAAATATACACAATAGAAGAAAGAGTTAAAACTGAACACAATCTTGCTACTTAAGCTGTGTATGAACATTTTTATATACATTTCTTAGCTTCTTTTTACATTTTGCATTTACTTGTACTATTACTTTCAATGCTTAAGTACGTTTAAGATTTTTAAAAATACTTTTCGTACTTAAGTGCAATAAATATCACATACTTTAAGACTTTTACTCAAGTAATATTCTAAACGGTGGCTTCAACTTCTACCGAAGTGATTTTCTGGTAAGATATCTATACTTTACTTGAGTATGGCTTTCAGGTACTTTATACACTACTGCACCTTTGGTTGTGGACACTCTTCCCTGCAATGAAGCTGCTTCTTCCTCTACCTCGAACAGAGAACCTCATACGGGCCACTTCTACATTTTCAACCCCTTGGTCTCCCCTAACCCTAAAAAAAATTATGTACATAGAACATTTTAAATGTGGCTATTTTACCACAAACATTAATTTACACTAGAACAAATACCAATTTTACTTCTAATAAAATATAAAGTATGTGATTGCGGTTGTCAATCTGAAAGACATCAGCACACTCTCACACAGGGATGTCAAAGCCTGTTAGTCAACAGACTAGTTTATCCTCCACTAGTACAACACAGTCGAACCAGTTGATGTATGTGTTCAGGATAATATATTAGTGCAGACTCTAACACAAAAGCAAAGGAATTATAGGCAATATTTACCGAAGTGGAAGACCTAATCTTTGAACAGAATGCTGGGAAAAGTACAGAGTGGTTGAAGCCAGATTATTGGTTGCAACATCTAGGTACATGATCTGTGTAACATATGAAAAATAGGCAGTTTCAGTCTAGAGTGTGTGATTCTGATATCAATACAATATGAAATGTGAAAACCCTGCCTGGGTAAAGCCAGCTGAAGTCTTTTTTTGTGATTTAATATATTCTACATACAATTATTCTGAGTACATTCTGTGACAATGTCATTTTGATATCTTTAATATTGACTTAGTAAGACAAAGATTGAAATGATTGTTTAGGAAACCAATGTCCGGTATTTTCTGTGCAAATTAATAAAATGTAGAGTCAATAAACTTTATATAATTTCAGTAAATTTGACTGTTCTATATTGAAATCTATCATATAATCTTTAATTTACAGCTATAAACACAAATGACCTACTTTTGTCATTTTTTGGCTATGACTACTTTATTTGCTCCCATAATTAGACAGGGTTACATTTATAGACCCTGACATTTTTAGGAAGTCGGGTAATAAAATATACAGTTGTGGCCAAAAAAAAAGTTTTGGCAGTGACATAAATGTTGTGTTTTGCAAAGTGTGCTGCTTCAGCTGTTGTGGCGTTCATTCACATTGTTTCTAGATTATTGTGTAGAGTGATCAGATGCAGTTTAAATAATTGCTAAAAGCTTCATTGGCCAAAAAATTAACTTTTCACAAAAAAAACAAATTTCACTGTTTTTTTATCCTGACACAAAATGAGCATCTAACAGTAATTGACTAATCATATCAGCAGCACGTGTGAAAGTGTGAATGAGTACTAGTCAGGTTAATCACTATCATACTAATTAGATTGTAAGAGCCGGCTGATTGCTATAAAAGGAGAGAAGAAGCGCTTCCAATCATTTCATTTCTATTTTTGTTCCATTTTATTTTCCTGTAATTAGCTTCTTTGTTCTTATTTTATTATTGACTGTTTGCTTGTCTTCAGTAAGTTTGAGAACTTAATGTTAATGCATAGAAAAGAAGTAAAAGCATAGGGTTGTTGTTGTTTTTTTTGTCCCAAAATTGTGCCAACATCCTGATGACTGCACCAAAAACATACGATCAAATCTCCATGACAGGAATATTGGATCCAGTCTTTTTACCAGATCCTGTCAGAAGACTTTTGTTTAGTCTGAGCCTCAAAACTGTGTTAACTCAAAGTCTTCTGTCATCCTGAGAGGTTAACAGAGGAATCCAGGGAAGAGCAGAACGCAGGAGACAAGTGATGATCAAATGGCAGGATTTATTAAATAATATTAGTTGTGTATGTTTCAATGCTCAGATTTCATCAACAAGTGTTATTATATCAAACCAAAAGTAATGGAAAATTTCTGCTTCACAACATCATCGTGTGACGTTAAAAACCTGGAGACATTCTCTGATCTCTTACTCATGAAGAGAAATATACCTAAAAACCACACAATCATGAGATAAAACAATATTACGATGATATGACATTCAGAGAAGCTGCTCTGAATAAGGTAATCTTGGGTAATGACTAAACGAGTCTGGCGGATGATTCGCCACATTTCTGTTAGGAACGTCAAAAATACAGTAAAAACAGTGAAATATTATTATAATGTAAAACTGTTTTCTATGTGAATATGTGTTAAACTGTAATGTATTTCTGTGATGCGCAGCTGTATTTTCAGCATCATTCCTCCAGTCTTCAGTGTCACATGATCTTCAGAAATCAGTATAATATGCTGATCTGCTGCTCAAGAAACATTTCTGATTATTATCAATGTTGAAAACAGTTGTGCTGCACAATATTTTAGTGGAAACCTTTTATTTTTCAGGATTCACAGATTAATAGAAAGTTCAAAAGTACAGCATTTATTTGAAATAGAAACCTTTTGTAACATTATGAATGTCTTTATCATCACCTTTGATCAGTTTAATGTGTCCTTGATGAATAAAAGCATGAATGTATTTTAAACAGCTCATAGTGATAGAAGCAGGATCTGTTCGTCCTGACAGCAGGTGATGTGACTGAAGCAGACATCAGAGCTCAAGGTTTATTTGGTTAGTTTGATCTCTGCTGGTTACTGTCGGGACTACATCATTTAGTGGGTAAAGAGTATCTTCCTGAGCGTATCCATGTGTTCTGATGAAACAACATTTACATCTCTAATATTTCCTGATCTTCCACTAGATGTTTTCTCAGTGTCTGATGGACATTTCTGAGGTTCTCAGAAGCACAGGTCATCATAGTTTGTAAACGTCTCTAGTGGTGAACGCAAACTACAACAAATATCATCTTTGTGTTCCTATTTGCTCCACAATAGTGTTTCTAGGACTTTACAAAATATCATGAGATTGATTGTTCTGGTCAGAAGAGAGAAAGATGTCAAATCTGCAGATGTATCAGAAACATGCAAACAAGTGTTAACTAGTGTTTTTTTTTTTCAAGGTAACAAAACAAAAATTATAGTCTCATAAATGCACAAAACTTTCAGTGTTGTACATGTTATATTCTTTAAAATATCAAAATATGAAAAACATTGCTAGATGCACAGTTTTATTAACTGTGTGTCATTCTCTGAAAATGGTCTGTTATTAACGGGAGGCTCTTGAAGTGTGTAAAGTTTAGTTTAAGTTATGAAGTGTTGTTCAGAACTCATTCTGTAAGTGTCGGATGTCGTGAGGATTTAGTGGTTTAGATACAGACTGAAATCATACTCATATGATCTTTATTCAGTGAATGTGATGAATCACTCATGGATGTGATTAACAGAGTGACCAGCAGAGGAAGCCACAGTCTCTCATCACACTGACACTTTACCACCGTAACCATAGTAACAGCAGACACACTGTATCAGCCTCCACTGACAGAGACAAGAGTAAAATCACACAAGAGCCTCCAGCACCTGATTTTATGTTGACTTTAGATTTATTTTCATTTTTTTGTATTTATTTATTTATTTTACAGTGTTAAAACTGAACACAGTTACAAGGTGAATGATTATAAAGGAATCAAACACACTTGGATGAGAGTTTCTGACATGGTTCTCCTGCATCATTTTATTGATGCATTATTAATTTGGGATTTAATTGATTTCCATTATTTTCAATGGAAAGTCCAAAAACATCCACTAGAAATTTTTTTTAGAAAAAAAGCAAGATCAAAATGACAGAAAGATCCTCAAGCATGTTAAACCATTGATTTTGTATTGAATTTACTATGATTTTACTGTGTGTGTGTGTGTGTGTGTGTGTGTGTGTGTGTGTGTGTGTGAGAGAGAGAGAGAGAGAGAGAGAGAGAGAGAGAGAGAGGCTCTACAGGAGCAGGAATGAGGAAGCTGCTTCACAGACTCACAGACACATCTGTTTTACACACGTCACTCAAACACAGAAGCAGGAAACAGGAAACACGGGATTTCAGGGAAATCAAAGAGAAACTGAAATCAAAGAACTGAAATCACTCAAACACAGAAGCAGGAAACAGGAAACACGTGATTTCAGGGAAATCAAAGAGAAACTAAAGTGTAGTTGAGCTCATGATTGAAACCGATCATCACTTCTGGAGTTTGAACCTTCAGCCATTAGTTATCAGCTCTTTTACTGGATTCATCTGTTCACATGAAGATTTAGAGGCAGTAGTTTTCTGTGAGATTAACTATCATCCGTTTGTCCTGCAGCACCAGCAGAAGGAGATGCAGAAGATGCTCCAGCAGAGAATCCAGCAGAGAGAGAAGGATCTTCAGCAGCTGAGAGAGCCTGTGGAGTCTCATAAGGTGAGTCTGGAGAAGAAGAGAAGTCTGTCTCCGTCTCAGTTCAGACTCACTGAAGCCTGAATCACTGTGTGTCCTAACAGCGCTCTGCACAGACAGCAGTGGAGGACAGTGAGAGGATCTTTACTGAGCTCATCCGCTCCATTGAGAGAAGCCACTCTGAGCTGATACGGCTGATCAGAGATCAGGAGAAGACTGCAGTGAGTCGAGCTGAAGGACGACTGGAGCGACTGGAGCAGGAGATCAATGATCTGAGGACGAGAGACGCTGAGCTGGAGCAGCTTTCACACACACAGGATCACATCCAGTTCCTGCAGGTAACAGAGATCTAGAAGAACAGGATCATAGTGGACTTGAGCAGATCCTGCTGTGACAGAGACTCACAGAGAAACAGTCACCTTTAATGTTTAGATCAGGGCTGTCCAAACTTTAGCTTCAACCCTAATTAAACATACCTGAACCAGCTAATCAAGCTCTTACTAGGCATAGAAACTTCCAGTCAGATGTGTTGAGGCAAGTTGGAGCTAAAATCTGCAGGACACCGGCCCTCCAGGACCGAGTTTGGACAGCCCTGGGTTAGATAGATGGATATATAGATCTTAAACCAGTGATCACCAACCTTTTTAGGCCCAAGATCCCTGACCTCGGCCTTTATGAAAGACAAGAGCTACCTATTGAAGAATTGATAGAAAAAGACATCCCAGATTGTACTTCAAATTTGAGGCCTATTACTTAGTATTTTAATTAGTGATGCTCCGATCACAGCTGATTCAGAATTCAGATTTTTCTTTCTTTCTTTCTTTCTTTCTTTCTTTTTTTTAACTAGGAAATTGGCTGATTCTGATACTGATATTTAAGCAAATTTATTTATTGGCTATTTGCTTTATAACAAACAAACTGGCTTCAAACTAAAATATCTAGCTGTTTGAAATTAGAGGCAACCACTGCATTTTAATCACGATCTGCACGGGCAGTTGTTTTTTATTTGATTTAGATTAATTTCAGGATTTAAAACAAAAAAAGAATGGTCTGACTTTAGGTGTTATTTATTTATTTGCTACATAAAACATCTGCACGAAACAAAAACAACAGGGCTGCGTTCAGCCCCGACAAAACGGTGCAAAACGTGTTTTAAACGGAAACGGTGGTGCGTTGAACACTGTTCTGATGATGCAAGAGTTGTAACTATGGCAGCTGAGAAGGCCATTCTTTATGTTCTTTTCAGATAATTTTCGAAGCCTGATGAAATCTGTATAAACACGTGTTTAATACTGCAAAATACGCTGTATTTTACAGTCACTGCCCTTGCCCTCCAGAATAAAAGAGCACATCCCAATCCAGTGAAGGGATTTGTGGAAACTGTGGTTCCTAATTATTGTGATGCAACATTTGCCTCGCATTTCAGGATGAAAAGACAAACATTTCAGGTGAAGAATAATCCACTTCTTACCTCGACGACGGTGTTATGATCTATATGACCTTATTATTTTTATTGTGAGTATTAGGCTTATCATTATTGCTGATCACTGTTGTTGTGCTATGATATTGTAATATTTACCATTATATAATCAGAGGGGTATAGAAAAGTTTATGAAAGTGTCACTCCATAATGCAATCGCAAAATATATAAATATGTATAGCATTTTTATGTTACATTAATCAGTATTAGCACACAATAGAAGACATTGCAATTACTAAATGATATTTAGACAGAC